AATATTCATAAATATTGAGTTCGAAGTCTATATTCTTGTAATAATTATTGTGAGTAATTTTTATTAAATTCAACGTCAAAAATACTTGAGGAGTCAGCATGACCAAACACTACTTCGAATGGCGTACTACAACATGATGGCATATGTCATTACAGATGCAACATCTGTAATTTTTCTTTCATATTTCGCTAAGCGATATATTTCTAATAGGGTGGAGTGGAAACGTTTGACATGTGCCATGGAATTTGGATTGTGAGGAGTGCATACATGCATAGGGCTGCCATCTGTCCGTGTTTCCCCGAATTTGTCCTAGTTTGGAAGACGTCCGGGGAGTGTCCGGGCGGGGTTTAAATTGTAGTTCGGGTGCAATCCGAGCTACAATAAAAATCCGGGTTTACGATCAGATCCCGTTCTCATAATTTAAGTAAATAAAAGCTATGGGTAAGGTATTTCACCGCACGCGCTATCGACTCTATTTTACTACGCGAGCGCTCTCTGCGCCGAATTTCAACTTTCTAAAGGCAAAGTCAAAATTATTTATTCATAAATTTTTATTTCATTAAACAGCAATTGTTACTAAAATAAGTCATAAACATTTTGTTTTTTTAACACTATGTCCGTTGATAAAGGTGCAGTGAAGAACAGAGAAGAATCTCGAGGTTTGCTCTTTTAAAAAGTGATTGTGCAATTTTTCTTATTTACTTTATAAACTAGTCTTTTCATATAGTTTTGTCATATAATCGTAGCCAATCTATATTTATATAGTGCTAGTTTGTTATTATTTCTAGTATTAAAGTCATGCAGGTGCCTATTTGTGATAAATTGATGTAGATTCTGACGAACGTAACATTATGTTAGTAAAAATATATTGATGGTACTGTCCTCAGACGAAATAATAACGACGACTTGACTCGAACGAGTTTTTATTTCCTCCTGTCATAACTCATAATGTTTCTGCTTAAACAATTCTAGGTGTAAGTAAAGTAAGTAAGTAGTAAGGGTTTGGGTTGGGCTTTGATGAATCAGTGAATTTAATGTATGAAGAATTTTATTAAAATACTAAGAAATATAAATATTTTCTATTCATTATTTATTTTAATGTAAATTGACCGTAAATTGTCTGTAAGACAGTAACTGACACTAGTTTTTTAAGAGAACTACCGTATTCGTGTTACCACAAATTTAAAATTACATACACATAACATACCTAAGCTATTTAAGTTTTAATTCTGTCTAGTCTATTTAAAATTTGAAGGCATTTTAATGTTATTGCTTTAAGAATTGCCAAATAAATAAAAACTATATGTAGTTTTCTTTTTCATTTAAATTATTTACGTAATTCTATGAATGTAAACAACAAATTGTGTTTTGTTTGTCTGTAATATATGGAAATAAAAATGTAGGATGCTAAAAAAGTAAAAATTTATGGATTTTTAAGTTTTAGTTCTGATTAAAGTTTATTTTAAAATTTGAGGACATTTTGATGTTATACATGATCAAACGAACTTCCAAGTGAAGGCCGATCATTATTATGATGACTTGCTTCATTTTTCAGATATGATTATAACAATGTAGTTTCCCTACTTACTTGGTAACTTCGCACATATTTTAGAGATTTTTTTAACGGTTTAGTGACTTACTTCCGGTATGGCTGCCTTGTGTTGGCTCTTTGACGTAAGCTCATTCCTTTTTCGTGCGCGGTAACTATCGCACGCGCTCTGCAAACAACATGCCAAAAAGAAGCGCACAGTCGAAACTTGAACACTATGCTCGAAAAATACGTAAAATCGAAGAAAAAGAAAGGCAAGACGAAGAATAAGGCCTTTACAACTATCATCGTCAGAAGACGAAGGTAAGCAAAAATACAATCTTTAATTAGTGATCAAAAAGTGCACAGTGTTATCAGCTTCGTAAATGCTCTGGGATTGACTGCGAGTCAATAACTTTGACATTTTTCGAAACTAAATTATAAAATAGACGTTGTCACACCTAACTAATTTACTTTAACTGCATCGGGGTCGACTGCGAGTCTTCAACGATGACAAACATGCACATTCGTCATGCTCAGCTCATTTTTTTAGAGTCAAATTAACGATATGATACAAAACTTTCTGTATATCTGGGATATTCATGTATCAGGAAGGGAGGGAGCTCATATCTTCAAATGAAGCAAGTCATCATAGTAATGATCGAACTTCACTTGGAAGTTCGTTTGATCATATATTATAATTCCTTGCTTCATTTTCAGATATGATTATAACAATGTAGATGTTAAGAGTCAGAAAGTTTTGAGTGGAAAAGAAAACAATAGGTTAGCAAACCTTATAGTTTTATTTTTCAACAAATCAGCCTTATAGTTATAACAGTTTATCAAATTAAGTGAACTTAACATAAACCTCTAAGCATTAATTAAGGTAAACCTAATACTAAGAAACATTATTGTTTATTACTGTAATAATTTTATTATGAAAACATCACAATCACGACTGGTTTTCTGTTTGTAAGCAAACAAACCTAGCAAATTCGTCTTCATTTACAATAGACCTGTTATAAAAACGGGCGAATTAATTAGATGAACTAGTCCACCCAGCGGTTTTGCGAATAGTTTCTATATTAACCCCGGCCAAACTCGCGGCCGAGGTGGATGCATGTCTTGTGCTGCGCGCACCGAATATACTGATGTCAACGCCACTTTCTGACAGCATTTGTTTGATCCATCTGGTGATGGTTTGTATAGTAGCAGGTTTGTGTGGCCGTTTGTACGTTAATAACAGATTGTTTGTACTCTCAGGCCTTATATTTTTAGTTACAGAAATATATTCTGTGAGAACTGTCGCTGGGCAAATAGAAAAGTTTTCCCTGAAGTATGGCAGAAACAACAAAGGCTGGTCCCTACCGGGTGCAGATGTCTATTATGGCTATTTTATGCCAGTGTCTGAAATACGTATGTTGTCGAGTTTAATTAAGGAAAGCGTCTGTACCCTGTGAGTTGTACAGATTGCTAAAAGAATTACGAGTTTTTTTAGTTATTTTTTCCAGTGTCAGCTCACTGTTTGGGAACCATTTTGAAATAAAGTTTAAGACCAATTGGGGATTTCAGGTGGTGGAATATTTAGTTCTTAAGGGCCTTAATTTATATGCGCCTTTAAGGAGACGCTTTATAGATTGGTCTGAACCAATATTGTTGCCTACGAATGCTGACAAAGCAGAACGATGGGAGTTCAGGCTGCCATACGCACACCCATTATTAAATTGTAAGGCTAAGAATGAGAGTAAGGACGATTTCGGTGGGTTTTGTTACATTAGTAAGTACATTAATTTTGTTTACCGTACAATATTGCCACCAAAGCTTAAGTGATGTACTGTATCGCTGTATGGTGCTAGTGACAGCATCAGCATCAGTGTAGCTGAGTGTGCCGCCGGAGAGCTTCGCGACACCCAGGATAAGGTTCTTGTGCAGGGGGTGACACTCCCTGAAATGAGATTGCAAGAGATTTTTATTGGGGTTTAAATAAATGACGTCAGAAACTATAAGGTTTTGCAATAATGGAAACCATGGTTGTGATGGCCAGTTAGGATAAACTAATATCCCGTGTGCATTGTCGTCGATTATTTTTCTAAGGCATTTTAGTATCAGGGAAAATGGTGGGAACGCATAGAAGTAGTGGTTATGCAAGTCTGTTGTAAATGCGTCGACGGATACTGCGTCAGAGTCTTGTTTCCATGAAAGAAATTTGGCACACTTAGTGTTATCTCGAGACGCAAATAGGTCTATCTCAGGTTGACCGAAACATTTTACTATGCTTTGAAAAGCTTCATCAGAAAGGGACCATTCAGTATCTGGATTAACTATTCCAGACACAGCATCAGCACGGTTTTCTTTGGTATTTACATATGATGCGTATACCCAAAGGTCGCGCTGTTCACACCATTTCCAAAGGGACCTGGCCAAATCGTTTAAGTGGGTGTATAGAAGTAGTTACGTTGTACCAGTTCTGGCGCAAAAGTAGTTACGTTGTACCAGTTCTGGCGCACTAGTAGTTACGTTGTACCAGTTCTGGCGCAAAAGTAGTTACGTTGTACCAGTTCTGGCGCACTAGTAGTTACGTTGTACCAGTTCTGGCGCACTAGTAGTTACGTTGTACCAGTTCTGGCGCACTGAGTCAGAAGTGGTACAAGTACGACGTTCGTCGACTCACGATCCTAAATAAAAAAAAAGTTTTGGCATGCTCTGATCACGAATCTGCGGTCCATTTTTGCGTAGGATGCACGGTTCCGGAGATGTGCAAATCAATTAACTCTTATCTAATTGATATCCGGTGTAGGCCTCAACCGTCATTAGCGCTCCATTGTCCTTATCTACTTATCTATTGTTCGTTCAATACCGTCATTATCTAATATTCGTCAGCGTGTGGGTCGGCTTATGCTATTATATTATACTCCTTGGTTCCTATCTACAACGGTAATCTGAATCATCAATAAAATACATTACCTAATTTTGTTACAATTTTTATTTACGAAATACAAAATCTTATTACTTATTATCTATAAAATAGGAGCGAAACATCTCATCCACTAAAATATCGTTGTACAATGTGTTCCCTGTAAATATACTCGTAAAACTATGCATTGAACATCCCTGAAACTTATATAGCAAATACATTAAGCAATATTCGCCACAAACTGAAGTCCACTCATTCTGAATCCTATCAACATTCCAGTTCCATCTTTTACAATTTCTTTTTAAAAACTCTAGATGATATCGTACAGGTGTCCGTCCATATGAATCAAAATATTGACCGACGTCATTCGTATCGATATATAAAGCTACCTAATGTGACCCTGGTTTATCATCTGTACCCAAATTGCATATTACCTAGTCAGGTCATAAATTCTATCACATGCTTAATATAAAATAATTGAAACAAGTTTATTCATTATGTAACCATTTATATACCAAAATGAACTTAACAAAACATAGATTCTCATGACACTATAGTTTATTCAAAATGACCTCCGTGATTTTGAATACAGGCCTTCAATCTGCGCGGCCAGTCGTCTATCGCAGCACGAACGAGGTCCATGTCAATATCGGCGGCTGCCTTAATCAAGGATGTCTTGAGTGACTCCAAATTGGGATGAGGCTTTGAGCACGCCTTCTCCTCCAAGTGTTGCCATATCTTGTAATCTAACGGATTCAAATCTGGACTGGAGGAGGGCCAGTCTTCGTGCCGGATGAAGTCGATTTCACGCGCCGCCAGCCAGTCTTGTGTGCTCTTCGCTCTATGAGCTGACGCCGAATCTTGTTGGAATACCCAGTGCCTGTTATTGAACATGGTATGAGAAACAGGTTACACAAGGTTCGTCAGGACTGTATTTTGATACACAACTACATTCATTTTTACACCTTTCTCACAAAAATGTACCTTTGTTAAGCCCCAATAAGAAACTCCCAACCATACCATGAGCGAGGATGGAAAATGACCTCGTTGGATACGCGGAATACGGTTGCTCGCTTCTTCACTACTGTGTGCGTACACCTTATCATTTTGTTTGTTGTAGCTATTTTCTACGGTAAAAATTTTTACATCCGACAAAAGAATTTCCCGATATTTTTTCCCGCGTACCGCTTCGACAAAGCGCGGCATCTCTTCAGTCTCAGGTCCATTAGACGAGCATTCAAACGATGTCCTGTTTTTCTTCGATATGCCCGAAGCCCTAAGTCTTCATTTACCACCCTTTTACACCTTATCATTTTGTTTGTTGTAGCTCTCTCTACGGTAAAAAATTTTTCATCCGAAAAAAGAATTTCCCGATATTTTTTTCCCGCGTACCGCTTCAACAAAGCGCGACATCTCTTCAGTCTCAGGTCCATTAGACGAGCATTCAAACGATGTCCTGTTTTTCTTCGATATGCTCGAAGCCCTAAGTCTTCATTTAACACCCTTTTCACCGTGGTTCTGCTTAACCTCATCTGAAGGGCCAACAGTTTCTGCTTACGTTTGGGGTTTCTTTGAATTCGCGCCTTCACAGCTTTTATCACTGCTGGAGTCCTAACAGACCGAGGGCGACCACTTCTTGACCCGTCATCTACACTAGAGTCTTCATTGTATCGTTTGATGGTACGATAAACGAATCTTTTGGTTATATTCAAATTTTTCAGTATGTCAAAAATTTGAATTGGCGCGGAACCGCAACGATGCAACGCAATAACTGCAACACGGTCTTCTTTAAACGTCCACTCCATATTAAAAAATTAGTAAAATTCTAAAAAGTATACAGTTTTATTTTCATGAACAATTCGAAATTCGAATCCAATAAACTTTTTTGTGGCCAGCATTCTAAAAGAAAAGTTTTTACTGTGTGACAATACTTATGACCTGACTAGGTATATATCTACTATTATATATCTATTATAGGTCTATTAGCAGCATAAACATTATTTTCTAGACTGGGGTGAATCTTTTTCAGATGTTGTTGTACATCTAGTGTATCCATGATATTACTGCTATTAGTAGATTATTACAGTACAATCTACTCAATGACTAACATAGGAATGATCAATTATGTGATTTCTAAATATTAAATTGCATTTTTTTGTATTATTTTTGTACGTATTTGAGTCATCGATACACTGAATAAGACGCAACACGAAGTAATGATGAGATAAGCAACAGAATGTGAGATAAGCTTGTTGACGCATAAAGTTATTATCAATTCCACTGTAGAAATTCTTTAGATTAGAATTATTACTTACTGGTACTATATAAGACCAAGCAACTGCAGTCATGGAGTTAGTGTATGGTCGTTTAACCGCAGTGGATCTATCAATACTATATTTGTGTTACTTCAAGGAATCAAAGGCCATAGATGTAAGTGTTTATTCTATTACCAAACTTACTTTTCTTTCTGTTATTTTCTTACGTGTGTATGATTTAGTGTTAACAAATTATATTTAAATATTGTGTGTGTATATGATTAAGCCGTGGTAGCTCAGATGGGGTTAGCGCAAGCTGTAAATTTTACAGTACGCGACGCGGGTTCGATCCCCGCCGACACCAATTAAATTGTTAATTGCAATTTTAAGTGTTTATTCTATTGACAAACTTACTTTTCTTTTTGTTATTTTCTTACGTGTGTATGATTTAGTGTTAACAAATTATATTTAAATATTGTGTGTGTATATGATTAAGCCGTGGTAGCTCAGATGGTTAGCGCAAGCTGTAAATTTCACAGTACGCGACCCGGGTTCGACCCCCGCCGGCACCACTTAAATTGTTAATTGCAATTTTAAGTGTTTATTCTATTGACAAACTTACTTTTCTTTTTGTTATTTTCTTACGTGTGTATGATTTAGTGTTAACAAATTATATTTAAATATTGTGTGTGTATATGATTAAGCCGTGGTAGCTCAGATGGTTAGCGCAAGCTGTAAATTTCACAGTACGCGACCCGGGTTCGACCCCCGCCGGCACCACTTAAATTGTTAATTGCAATTTTAAGTGCTGATTTACCACGTGCTCGGCGGTGAAGGAAAACATCGTGAGGAAACCTGCATGTCTGAGAAAATTTCGAAGGCATGTGAAGTTCGCCAACACGCATTGAGACCGCGCCGCGGATATTTCCTAGCCATAAATACAAAGACAATAGTAGTAAGTAAAAAGTTAAAAAATACTTTTTTAACAATGACAGTCATTAGTGATCATTAGTGAATGTGATTCTGTTTACTTAAATTACAGGAAGACAAGAGCAGAAGGAAGAAATGGGATGATGGGAAGTAATGAAGAATGAATTGTTATGTGAAGTTTGTTGGAACAAACATATTTTAGTCACGTGTAAATACTTTTAACATTTTGGTTCAAAATGACACTAAATCTAAAAAATATTAGATACATCATCGACATGGACGGATTTTACATTACATATCCTCAGAAACATTTTCAATGTAGAGAAATGGCTATTCTAGACGTAAAACTATCCAATAAAAATGATGCGTTTATCGATCATTATTTGTTTCGGCCAAGTTATCCTTTCAATTATTTGTCGCCAAAAGACAAAAAAAACTGTTCGTTATTGTGAAACACACGTGCACGGCATTCCATATTTTGATGTGACCGAAGAATTAAAATGTGCCTACAAACAAGAGAACATCATTCGCATATTAAAGTGGTATATTAGAAATTTGTGCAAAGACGAAGTGATCGCATACAAAGGTGGTTCAACAGAAAAACAATTTTTAAAAATGTTGACGACGAATGATAGAATTTTTAATATTGAAGAATACAAATGTCCAAAATACAATGATTTGGTAAATGTCATAAATTTAAACAAACGTTATGTGTATAATAATCATATATTTGCAAAAAAATAATCACAAAATTTTACATTGTTCTTGTGACGAAGTGTGGGTTTTTTTACAAGTGGTTATTGCTTGAAAATAAAATTTTTAATTAATCATAAATTTTGTTTGATTTCCCAAAAACATTAGTTATAGTATACTATATAATACAAAGGTGGTTCAACAGGAAAACAATTTTTAAAAATGTTGACGACGAATGATAAATTTTTAATTTTTGAAAATACAAATATCCAAAATCCAAATCATAAATTTTGTTTGATTTCCCAAAAACATTAGTTATAGTATACTATATAATACAAAGGTGGTTCAACAGAAAAACAATTTTTAAAAATGTTGACGACGAATCATAGAATTTTTAATATTGAAGAATACAAATGTCCAAAATACAATGATTTGGTAAATGTCATAAATTTAAACAAACGTTATGTGTGTAATAATCATGTATTTGCAAAAAACAATCACAAAATTTTACATTGTTCTTGTGACGAAGTGTGGGTTTCTTACAAGTGGTTATTGCTTGAAAATAAAATTTTAAATTAATTATAAATTTTGTTTGAATTGTTTTCACCAACACTTTCATTTTTCATTTCATACCTTAGAACTTTAGACGTGTGTAATATTTCACTTTATACATCCGTTTACTGCTATTGTGGCAGGACCAAGTGGATGTGGGAAGTCAAATTTCTTAACAAATTTCATAAAATCAGTTACAGAAATATGTAATTGTGATTTTAATCAGATCACATGGTGCTTTGATGAAATGCAACCTTTATATAATTTGCCAAATGTAAACTATCATCAAGGAAATCCAAATCTAAAAAAAATACATGATTATTACACACATAACGTTTGTTTAAATTTATGACATTACCAAATCATTGTATTTTGGACATTTGTATTCTTCAATATTAAAAATTCTATCATTCGTCGTCAACATTTTTAAAAATTGTTTTTCTGTTGAACCACCTTTGTATTATATAGTATACTATAACTAATGTTTTTGGGAAATCAAACAAAATTTATGATTAATTAAAAATTTTATTTTCAAGCAATAACCACTTGTAAAAAACCCACACTTCGTCACAAGAACAATGTAAAATTTTGTGATTATTTTTTGCAAATATATGATTATTACACACATAAAGTTTGTTTAAATTTATGACATTTACCAAATCATTGTATTTTGGACATTTGTATTCTTTAAAAATTAAAAATTCTATCATTCGTCGTCAACATTTTTAAAAATTGTTTTTCTGTTGAACCACCTTTGTATTATATAGTATACTATAACTAATGTTTTTGGGAAATCAAACAAAATTTATGATTAATTTAAAATTTTATTTTCAAGCAATAACCACTTGTAAAAAACCCACACTTCGTCACAAGAACAATGTAAAATTTTGTGATTATTTTTTGCAAATATATGATTATTACACACATAACGTTTGTTTAAATTTATGACATTTACCAAATCATTGTATTTTGGACATTTGTATTCTTCAATATTAAAAATTCTATCATTCGTCGTCAACATTTTTAAAAATTGTTTTTCTGTTGAACCACCTTTGTATGCGATCACTTCGTCTTTGCACAAATTTCTAATATACCAATTTAATATGCGAATGATGTTCTCTTGTTTGTAGGCACATTTTAATTCTTCGGTCACATCAAAATATGGAATGCCGTGCACGTGTGTTTCACAATAACGAACAGTTTTTTTTGTCTTTTGGCGACAAATAATTGAAAGGATAACTTGGCCGAAACAAATAATGATCGATAAACGCATCATTTTTATTGGATAGTTTTACGTCTAGAATAGCCATTTCTCTACATTGAAAATGTTTCTGAGGATATATAATGTAAAATCCGTCCATGTCGATGATGTATCTAATATTTTTTAGATTTAGTGTCATTTTGAACCAAAATGTTAAAAGTATTTACACGTGACTAAAATATGTTTGTTCCAACAAACTTCACATAACAATTCATTCTTCATTACTTCCCATCATCCCATTTCTTCCTCCTGCTCTTGTCTTCCTGTAATTTAAGTAAACAGAATCACATTCACTAATGATCACTAATGACTGTCTTTGTTAAAAAAGTATTTTTTAACTTTTTACTTTCTACTATTGTCTTTGTATTTATGGCTAGGAAATATCCGCGGCGCGGTCTCAATGCGTGTTGGCGAACTTCACATGCCTTCGAAATTTTCTCAGACATGCAGGTTTCCTCACGATGTTTTCCTTCACCGCCGAGCACGTGGTAAATCAGCACTTAAAATTGCAATTAACAATTTAAGTGGTGCCGGCGGGGGTCGAACCCGGGTCGCGTACTGTGAAATTTACAGCTTGCGCTAACCATCTGAGCTACCACGGCTTAATCATATACACACACAATATTTAAATATAATTTGTTAACACTAAATCATACACACGTAAGAAAATAACAAAAAGAAAAGTAAGTTTGTCAATAGAATAAACACTTAAAATTGCAATTAACAATTTAAGTGGTGCCGGCGGGGGTCGAACCCGGGTCGCGTACTGTGAAATTTACAGCTTGCGCTAACCATCTGAGCTACCACGGCTTAATCATATACACACACAATATATAAATATAATTTGTTAACACTAAATCATACACACGTAAGAAAATAACAAAAAGAAAAGTAAGTTTGTCAATAGAATAAACACTTAAAATTGCAATTAACAATTTAATTGGTGTCGGCGGGGATCGAACCCGCGTCGCGTACTGTAAAATTTACAGCTTGCGCTAACCCCATCTGAGCTACCACGGCTTAATCATATACACACACAATATTTAAATATAATTTGTTAACACTAAATCATACACACGTAAGAAAATAACAGAAAGAAAAGTAAGTTTGGTAA